AAACTCACCAATTGGTGACATCACTATCTTCACAATATTTATACACATTGGATGATATTCATGTTTTGATCTAGATTTGCTTGTAACACTTGTCATTATACGATTTATATGACACTGAATTGTATATTTTTCATGCTGCACATTTTACTTTAATGCTGCACCTTCTTATTGATATACATTATTTATGAGACATACCTTTATACTTTGTTTTAGCGCTGCACCTTCATATTGAGATTTATATTGCAAGGTTTTTTTGGTTGCCTTTTTGGTGTTTCAGCGGCTATTTTCCTCTTAGATAGTGCTCGCATATTTATTCTTTACCTATGCAAGAACATAGCCACCCTCTCTTGCTTGATCCTGAGATGGAGTAGGGACCATCAGATTTCTACTGTGCATAGGACGTGCACATGACTGCAACTACAACTACCATAGATTGCTCTTTCCAAACAAACAGAAGTTTGAGGAGTGTAAAGGAATGGGTAAAACTCCAAAATGGAGTCACAGAAAGCAATAAAAACCTGACAGGTGTTCTAATCCCGCTCTACTTTAATGTAAAACTTTAAAAAAGTTTTGCCTTTAGTTATACTTTATTTGCTGTAAAATCAGGTCTCCAGGTTGGCTGTGCTGTCTAGCATGGCGGTCTAAAACTCAAGAATGAATAGATATACAATTCCTTTAGCATGTCTTATGCATTTTATCTGTGTATTGAATCATTTCCTTGAATTGCAACCTTAAGGCTGGCACTGATTTGCACACAATTCCTGGTCTACTTTCAGACCTATTTCTACCTTGATTTTTAAAAGTCTTAATAGATTTAGGCTTCATTCAAAAGGGCGCTGACATCCACAGTCTGTGAATAAAAGCCTTATTTATGTGGCCTCAGCTGTCAGGTGCTGCATGCAGACAGCCCATTCATATCTGTGGGGATGCTGCGGCTGCTTCATACTGCCGCTCATCCCAATCGGACAGCTGTGTAGGTGCTGGTGAGCTGCCCCAAAGGCAGACTGTGTTCGGAGCCACTCACAACCATGGTTGCTGAACTGGGAGGAGTGGTTGTGTCCGGTGCAGCAGCTGTGTCCCCAAGAGACATGAATTGACTGCCGGCACACAGCATATGTCAGCTAAGGCCGCATAAATAAGGTGCTCAATCAGGGACTACAGGTGTCAGCGTCCATCTGCATGAGGCCTAATACCCACTAGTAGAACATGGATATAACAGTTGAAAAAAAAACCACAAACAAACTAAAATCACACAAACACAGAATTATAAGACATGACATTTGTATTTTATTATTTGGTTTAATGTTTGTATTATTACTTAACTAAAAGGTGCTTAACTGCCTGTTTAAAGAACATGTCAACTCAAATTTCCACATTCATGATATGTGGCTGCTGTATCATGTAATTGTATGAAAAAGTACCCTGTTCTCTTTTTATTGCTTCTTTTGTGTGAAATCCCTGGTGTTCCTGCCAGCCCCTCTGCTTTCCTATTCAAAACTGACCACACTATAGCAGAAAATAGTGTGGTCAGTTCTCTAGCTGTGCTGGGAACTCAGCCTGCTCACCTCCATTGATCAGACCTAGTGCTGACATGGCACCCCCTGCACAGCCATGCACTGGGAAGACCAGAATGTTGCCATTTTAATTCCCCCAGCTCTCCTTATGCAGCTGAAAACAGAGTGTATGTGTGTTTATACTGTTTTTTCTATATATACACAAATGTTTTGCCTTTCAATTCTATTTTAAAACTGAATGGGTTGTTTTACAAGGTGAGGGTTTACATACACTTTAAAGCGGCATTAACCCCCAAACCAAAAATTTTATATATTGTAGCTTACCAATCATTACATGTGGTAGCTGCATTCGTTTTTTTTTACCTCTTAACAGTTAGGTTTTTAACCTCTGTTTTAACCCAGTGATTTGTCCAGTAACACACTCTAGCATATTTACATACACTAACAAACTGAAATAAAACTCCAGCTAACACTTAGAAGCAGTTTTATCAACAGTTTTTATTTTCTTTTGGGATAAAGATGTTACACAAATATATAAAAGCTGCTTATTGTAAGCACCCCTGTCAAGGTTAGATGAAATTGCTTGTCTCAACCCTCTAACTGCAACATCTGCAAGACAGTTTGTTCTATTGAAAAACAACAGACTTACTGGCCAGATCACCAAGTGAAAATAAAAGTAAAAAAGTCTAAAAAGAAAAAGCAGCTATCACATCCTAAGAATTGGCAATTTAATGAATGTTTGTTTTTGAGTTTAATACCGCTATAAGAGTACATGAAGATTTTTTTTTTTTGTCTTGATGCCCTGTGAACCAAATCCAATGTTGGTGAAAGATATTGGGAAACTGGATGAGAAGATTATTTTTAGCTAATCACATGTTTATATGTTATATCCTATACAAGAAAAACAACTGCGTTGCAATGGTATGGCATGGGCAACAATAAAGATTTCCTCCAGTTTTTATATGACTGCACACATCTCTGCTCCATTAAAATAATATTTTAGTCTCTAATCATTGTTATCTAGATATAAGAAGGTGTAACTAGCAGGTTATCGGTTTATGAGCTGTGCCAGTTCAAAAAAAAAAAAAAAAAAAAAAAAAAAAAAAAAAAGGACTGTGTTTCTCTCCTTGCCTTGGGCACTGTGTGGTTACAACACAGCTGACTCAAGGGAATATGTCTGCAGACAGCAAGCTACTTGCCAAGCAATAACTGCATTGTTCAGATGTTATTACTTGGGGTCACAATATACTGTAACTCATTTCACACTTTCATTAGCAGGCACTAGAAAGAACTTATGCCAATCACATTTCTGGGACAAACCTCAAAACAAAAAAAAAGGCAAGATGTTCTCTTGACGCAAGATAAAACACTGACCTCCCCTCAACAAACTTGCAGTTAGCTGCATTTTTATATGTACTTTACAGATGTCCATGGATGGTTTGGTTTTGAGGGGAGAAGCATGAAGGTTACCTTGTGCTTCTGAGCCGTGCAAGTACTCATTTTTGCAGGCAGGTTTTGTCAGACACAGGAAACTAGAAAGTCTTCCACTACACAGAAGACTGCCCATTCATTAGCCAAAAGGAGAATGCAAAAGATCTCAGTGGTCAATATACAGACAGGTGTTCCACTGTACAATAGAAATGTCAGCCTTTCTATGGCAAGCCTAAGGGCCCATAGATGAGCTTTTGCTTGTGTGGATGCCATCAGTTTGAGATGTTTCTAGGATCATTCAGAATTGATAGGAGCACATAACTTGCGCCTGACTGAATTCTGTGTTTTGCGTTTCCATAGACTTATGGCAATGCATAAACCTGTCTGAAGCATACAAAAAGCAGTAGATACAGGTAACACCACAACATCATAGAAGTCATATACAGTGGCAAGAAAAAGGATAAGCCTGATCATTACAGAACAGACTGAGTTCCCAGCACAGCCAGAAAACTGACCATGATGTGGACAGTTTTTCATAGGAAAGCAGAGGGCCTGGCAGGAACACCAGGGACTTCAAACAAAGGAAGCAATACAAAATGGACAGGACACTTTTTCATACAAGTACATGATACAGTAGGCACATATCAGGAATATGAAATGCTGGGTTTACACATTCTTTAATAGCTGGTTGAACCTCCTTTGGCAGCAATGACTTCAAGCAAATGCTTTCTGTAACTCTGATCAGGCCTGCACAATGTTCAAGAGGAATATTTGCCATTCCTCTTTATAAAACTACTTCAGCTCAGACACATATGTAGGATGTCTGGTGTGAACTGCATAGCATCTCTATGGTGTTAAGGTCTGGGCTCTGACTGGGTTACTCTAAAAGGCACATTTTCTTAAGCCAGTCTTTGGTAGATTTACTTCAATGCTTAGGGTCACTGTCCTGCTGTATCACCCAACTTCTACTAAGCTTCAGCTGGCAGACAGCCACCTTGATATTATCCTGTAGGATATTTTGGTGGACTTGGGAAGTTATTTTCCCCTTGATGATGGCAATTGGTCCAGGCCCTGAGGCTCGGAGATGCTTTGAAATGACCTCAAGAGATAACTAATATCACAACGCTTCAGTCCTTGTTAGGCTTTTGAATTGGTTCCACAACTTCTCCTTCAAAACACTTTTATAAAAGTACAGTATTTGTTTTTTTTTTTTTTTTCTAAATGACTTTACAATTACTTCAAGGAATTAAAGAAGAATGCTTAGGATTCAAAAATCCTGGAGCGCTCTGCAAGGTACTGTATGTGACAATGAACTTATGCACTTTATGCTTGACATTTAGCGAATTTAGATTAGAATGAGGTGTACAGTTCATACATACACAAGCTTTTTCAAGAAATGTAACAGCAAAACATGTAAAGTGTATAGTAATATATAAAAAGCAACCAGGGTTAAAGCCTTCGTACGTTTTTACTGTTATGCAGTCAGGCTGCATATACAGTAATGAATATTAGCACCATGGCATATGTACTCCCTCTTCCGCTGCCTTTGAAGTATAAGAGGGAGTAGTGGGGGCAGTAAAAATGTGTCTCAGCCATGCATTTTATACCACCAGCCAAATACAAGTGTAAATGAGTGCTAACATATCCCCCTTTAACACTGCTCTAAACATCAGCTCTGCTGAGGGAGCAAGAGGGATGTTATTTATTTAGAGCAGTGTTCAGTAGGGTATGTTTGACCCCAGGAAAGCTGGGTGTGTGGCAGCAGCAGCAGTTCGATTCGCAAAGCACAGGATTTTTTTTAACCCTTGCTACCGCACTTAACTGATAAAAATACATAAATAAATGAAAGGCATATTTATTAACAATCTTACCTGCAACACATTAATAAATGGGGAGGGGTCAACTGGGTTTTACTCTAACTTAACTGAACTCTGTTACTATTTGCTGCACATCATTGGTACTCCTTTCCTGTTTTAACCAATTAACATCCAATAATCGTCAGTCTGAATAACATTGTATTAAAGCAAGTTCCACAAAGAAAAGAAAATATCTTACGGTCTGGTGGTTTGAGGATCATTTTGTTCTGCTCAGCCCAGCCAATGGAATGAAGGTCAGAGGTCACAATGTCGCACCAGAAGTCCGCAGAACGATCTTCCCCGCAACCATCATACCGGAGCAGCAGAAGTTTGCCACAGGTAGTGATGATAGTAGCAATCCAGTAAGACTGTGGCTGTGTTCCAAGAGGCACCTCTAATTTCATTCCTGGGGACAAGCCAGTCTCCACTGAAGTGTCCACCTGTGCAGTTCCAAAAGAGGAAAACAATGTACATAATTCAATACTATAAAAATTATTGTAGTGTAACAACAGCAGCTGCAGAAACTAAATAAAGATAACAGTATACATCTCTCTCAACAATGCAATTTAACAAAGAGGCAAACATAAAGCAACACAGGTATTCACCATAATAATGGTGTGGGCAACATTACCACCAATATCAAATATACAGTTGTGTCCAAAATTATTCAACCCCCAATGCTGTAAAGGGGTTTAGGGACTATAGTGTACATTTGGAATTGTATTCAGAATCAAATCCTACAAGGACGTTGTAACTACCCAAATGCAACTAAAATGACATCAATTGTTTAGTAATACAGTAGTAAATGGTTCTTATGTGGTTTCTTCATTGCCACAATTATTCAACCCCTTAAAGACTACCACTCTGAAGAACAGAGGTTCATACAGGTGCTTTCCATCAGGTATTGAAAACACCCTGTGGATGTCACCGAGCAGCAATCAAGCATAATAAGCACCAATTAGGCAGCTTTAAAATGACTGTGATACTCAGCTCCTTCTAGACATTTACTGGTGTGGTTACAAACATGGTGAAGGCAAGAGAATGGTCCAGGAAGACAAGAGAAGAGGTGATTTCTCTTCACAGGAAGGGCAATGGCTATAAGAAGATTGCAAAGATGTTAAACATACCAAGAGACACCTTAGGAAGCATCATTCGCAAATTCAAGGCAAAGGGCACTGTTGAAACGCTACCTGGTCGTGGCAGAAAGAAGATGCTGACTTCGACTGCTGTGCGCTACCTGAAGCGTAGAGTGGAGAGAAGTCCCCGTGTGACTGCTGAGGAACTGAGAAAAGATTTGTCAGATGTGGGTACAGAAGTTTCAGCCCAGACAATAGACGCACACTGCGTAATGAAGGCCTCCGTGCCAGAACTCCCAGGCGTACCCCCTTGCTGTCTCCAAAGAATAAGAAGAGTCGACTGCAGTATGCCAAAAGCCATGTGGACAAACCACAAAAGTTGTGGGATAGTGTTCTGTGGACTGATGAAACAAAATTAGAACTGTTTGGGCCCATGGATCAACGCTATGTTTGGAGGAGGAAGAACAAGGCCTATGATGAAAAGAACACCTTGCCTACTGTGAAGCATGGTGGAGGGTCAATCATGCTTTGGGGCTGTTTTGCTTCTGCAGGTACAGGGAAGCTTCAGCGTGTGCAAGGTACCATGAATTCTCTTCAGTACCAGGAGATATTGGATGGAAACGTGATGCAGTCCGTCACACACCTGAGGCTTGGGAGACGTTGGACCTTTCAACAGGACAATGATCCCAAGCATACCTCCAAGTCCACTAGAGCATGGTTGCAGAGAAAGGCTGGAACATTTTGGAGTGGCCATCGCAGTCACCAGACTTAAATCCGATTGAGAACCTCTGTGGGACTTAAAGAAAGCAGTTGCAGTGCGCAAGCCTAAGAATGTGACTGAACTGGAGGCCTTTGCCATGAAGAATGGGCGAAGATACCCGTAGATCGCTGCAAGACACTTGTGTCAAGCTATGCTTCACGTTTAAAAGCTGTTATAACTGTAAAAGGATGCTGTACTAAGTACTAAGATTGAATGTCACTTGGGGGTTGAATAAAACTGATAATGCTGTGAGCACAGAAAAGACATTTGTGGTTATTTCATTATAACTGTTATGTTATATTTGTCTGACCTACAAGTGCCTCTTTAATGTAAATGTAAGCAAGATGACTGAATGATCAAAAGCAATGTCAAACTGGCCAAAACACTCAATTTCAGTGGGGGTTGAATAATTTTGGACACAACTGTAAATATTTTCAGGTGTTTATTCTATATAGTTGCTGATTCACTGGCCCGAACAAGTTTCAAGCATGGCTTTCACATTTAGTCATTTGGAATATCTTTCCTTTTACAATAATTTTTCACAAATCTGTAAATCGTTCACCCTCTAAAGTATATTTGTATGGCAGACAGTGCAAGCAACATGCTGCAAAAACAGTTCTGTGGAAAAACGAATTAACCACTTCAAGTCCGGACACTTTTACCCCCTGCCTGTCCATGCCAATTTGCAGCTTTCAACGCTGTCACACTTTGAATGACAATTGCGCGGTCATGCAACACTGTACCCATATCAATTTTTTAGCATTTTTTTGAGATAGATAAAACTTTAATTTTGGTGGTATTTATTCACCACTGGGATTTTTATTTTTTTTGCTATATAAATGTAAAAGTCCAACAATTTTGAAAAAAAATGTTTTTCTTATAAAATTTTGCAAATAAATAATCTTTCTTCATAAACCTTGGCCAAAATTTTATCCAATTATCTTTTTAGAAAAAAAAAAATAACCCCAAATTAGTTTATAACCAAAAATTATAATTTTTCTAAAAATGTTTTTACATTTTTATTTTATTTTTTTTATATTGTTTATGTGTTTGTTTTTTTTAGAAACTGTCACCCTAGCAGTACAGTGTCACCATAGTGACACTGTACTACTTGTAAGGGGTCATGAAGATTTTTTTTTTTTTATACAGATTGCTTTTACACCCATAAAAGGTGTTAAGCAATCATTTCTCCATCTCTCTGGCTGCATTCTTGCAGCCATTGAGAAATACTGTGTGAGTTTTGATTGGTCACAGCTTGTCACATGGTACAAGGTTTGTTGTGAATAGCCTTGTACCATGTGACCTTTGTGATCATTCACAGATTTCACAAGTAGTAAGCAATGATGTCAATGACATCTTGCTTGCTACTGTGCATGTGATCACTGATTGCCCAATCAATGATCACATGATTAGGACCTCACACAGAGGGAGCGTGCACAAGCAGGGGGTGGGATGGGCCGGATGGGAAGTGGTTAAGAACAACCCACGTGAAGTGTAAATTGTTTTCCAGGGTGTACAGTGCCTTGAAAAAGTATTCATACCCCTGAAATTTTCAACATTTTGTCATGTTACAACAAAAAACGTAAATATATTTTATTGGGATTTTATGTGATAGACCAACACAAAGTGGCACATACAATATTGCAAATAGGACAGTGCTACAGATAATAAAATCAACCTGTGCGCGGTCCTGAATGAATGAAAGAAAAACAATCTGCTGCCGCTATGTCCTCATATGATCACACCACATATCTAACGTACAATATAGTAAAAAGGACAGCGCTACAGATAATAGATAATATACTGGAAGTACGGAAGAGTTAATATAACAACGCGTAAGGATGCATAGTGGAGTGAGCAAACTGAAAACGGTACTTCTTATGGCTTTCTTTCAATGACTTTCTTCTTGCCACTCTTCCATAAAGGCCAGATTTCTGGAGTGCACAATAGTTGTCCTGTGGACAGATTCTACCGCCTGAGGCGTAGATCTCTGCAGCTCCTCCAGAGTTCCCATGAGCCTCTTGGCTGCTTCTCTGATTAATGCTGTCCTTGCCCAGCCTGTCAGTTTAGGTGGAGAGCCATGTCTTGGAAGGTTTGCAGTTGTGTCATACTCTTTCCATTTTTGGATGATGGATTGAACAGTGCTCCGTAAGATGTTCAGAGCTTGTGATATTTCTTTATAACCTAACCCTGCTTTAAACTTCTCCACAACTTTATCCCTGACTTGTTTGGCCTTCATGATGATGTTTGTTTACTAATGTTCTCTAACACGACTCCGAGGGCTTTACAGAACAGCTGTATTTATACTGAGATTGAAATTACACACAGGTGGACTCTATTTACTAATTAGGTGATTTCTGAAGGTTGAATACAAATGCATGCCACACTTTTCAGATATTCATTTGTAAAAAATTTTGAAAACCATTTATCATTTTCCTTCCACTACACAATTATGTGCCACTTTGTTTTGGTCCATCACATAAAATCCCGATAAAAATACATTTAATTTTTGGTTACAACATGCCAAAATGTGGAAAATGTCAAGGGGTATGAATACTTTTTCAAGGCACTGTATAACCATCCCTGAAGTCCTCGCGGTCATCAAAACACTTAAGACACAAAACATTCCTGTACCTGATGGCTTCTTGGCTTTGTATTGCAAAAAAACTTCTGACATCTTAGCTCCTCATGGCCAACTTATTCAACCACTTACGCTCTTACGATGACCTACACACATCATCAACAACTGCCCACATAGTTATGATACCAAAACCTGGAAAGGGTTCCCAGGACCCACATAACTTTCACCCTATTTCCTTATTAAACGTTGATATTAAAATCCTTGCCAAAATCCTTGCTATTAGACTAAATTCATTTTTACATAACCTTATCCACAAAGACCAAGTGGGCTTTGTTCCCTTTAGGCAGGCCCCCGATAACACCCATAGAGTAATCCATTTAATGCATCACACAGGTGTCCCTGGCATGGTCCTCAGTCTGGATATACTGTACATAAAGTATTTGATTCCCTTTCCTGGGGGTACATGCATTATGTTCTGAATAAGTGGGGATTCCCAGCAGCTTTATGTCCTGGCTGAGGCCTCTATACCGCATGCCTTCTGCCTCGGTTCGCTATCTTTCTCGGCAATCTTTCTTTTCCAGTTTACAAAGGCACATGGCAGGGGTGTCCTTATACTTTTATGGTACCTTATTAGGTCCAATTCGGACATTAAAGGGGTGAAGGTTGGCCAACAGTCATTCAAAGTCAGCTCGTTCACAGACTTTTTGCTTCGGACTCTGACTCAACCTCATACTACACTTCCTGTCCTTATTTCCATTCTCACACGTTTCTGTACTATTTCTGGCCTAGTAGTAAAGGAAGACAAATCTTCTGCCCTCAATATCTCCCTACCTGAAGTGGAGGTCACTTTATTAAAACAAAACTATAATTTCTCCTCATCCAACGCTCATTTAAACTGTATAGGAATCTGACTCACTAAATCCTATATTCCATTGTTTCGCTCTCTCAAGGCAT